TGATGTCACAGAGGGTTTGTCCATCTTTATATAAAGGCAATTAGCAGCAACATGGAAGGTCAGAGAGTAAACACTGTGTGAAGATAATTCTCTGAAGTTTACTGTGCTCGGTTCAACTGTTGTCTCTGAACATTTCTGAACATTTAAAAGTGCTTTACGACCAAGGCAGCTCATGTGTGACACTGTCAGATTCTCTACTCAAGTGTTGAATTGTAATGCTGAGCAGACATTCCCTGTAAACGCACGTCTTTTAATCAGCAGAATAATTCCTTTTATATTAATATTTTGTAATTATTATGTTTTGCCTCTCTTTTGTATTCTCTATCTGAATAATTCACATTCTGAACCACTTCTGATCCCGTCTGATATGAGTGTTGGCTCTTCTTGGTTCTTTACGAAAGATAAAACGCAGCACATTGACTACATCATAAACTACTCATCCAATACCTCTGTTTCCCGGGGTTGCTGGAGCAATCATCGACAGTGTGATCAAATTGGGTGCAAAAGTCGTCCAATTCTCCATTTTCACCAAATGCTCCCCACTCCATGTTGACACACATACGACCGCTGTTGCCCTCCACTAGCTCGATGTTCTGCATTTCCTCCATGTAGCAGGCATTGGTTCCTGTGCCTGAATTAAAAATAGAGGTATTAGAACTATTATTCCAGAAGCAAAACATAATAAAAAAAATAAAAATTTTAACAGCTTCACTACAAAGTCAAAACAGACTCTCAGTGAATAGATTATCATGTTTAAAAAACAGACTGGCTTCAAGCAAGTAAGGCGGGGGGTAGAAAGACTTACCTACGATGAGTCCCACCTCACATCTGGGGTCCTCATAGCTGCAAGTCATCATCGTTCCCACTGTGTCATTAACTACTGCCACAAAGTTCAAGTCAAATTCCTGGAAGCAGAGATAAAAAACTAATTTACAACAAACTTAAAAGCATTAAAACATCAAGTAAAATACAGTGATGTCTTAACAGAGCAGTAAAGAGCTGCATTACATGGAAATCTATTTTAGAAATAGAAACATTAGTTGCCTCACCGTTTACACACAGCATTAAAACAAGACTCATATCAATGGGCACATTTATAGAAGATTTAAGTAGTTACATGTTAAATGCTCTGAGATTCAGGTTTCTTTCGGACATCATCTTGCATGAGAATATTCCAAATTTATATTCTTGAATTTGTGTTTAAACTCTGTCTACTAATTCAAAGATACATGTTTTCAAAGTAGTAGCATTAGCGCTGTTGAAGACTTGGTGTTCCAAAGTGCTGGTGGTATTTGATAAATTTTGTCTGACTGGACACCTGCTGAGGACTGTGTAGGACTGTGCCAATGTTTTTAGTGACGGGTGAAATTACCATGGTGGAACATTTCCACGCAGGGAGACGAGCACTGTGATTAAAATGGATAATCTACTGCAAAAAACTAGCAGTGCTTCCTTGCTGAGTCATCCAAACACCCCATAAAACTTAAAATTTGTCATGTGGGAGGTTGCTACTCAGAGGTTGCTTTTCATGAGAAAAATGGTAACACACAGACAGCAGGAAAAAGGACAACGCCCATTGAAATGAGCAGTGGCCGGTGAGTCACACTAAACTGGGTTAGAATCTTTATGGGTGTAATCCATAGACTGTATAAAAGATGGACGTAGCTACCGTGACATCTCCCGTTGGTTTCTGCTCTGAGAAAATGAAACCAGGGTTTTGCTACTTCCTGGTTGACATCTTGGATTTTTGGAGCCAGTGAGGCAAAAATCGTCGGAGGGGGGGCGGAGCCATAGGAGCAGCGATTGGTCAGACGGATTGAGAGGCAGGCCCTCTCTGCCCGCCCACATTTACCGCCTTCTGCTCACTTCGTCTGTATGGTCGCTGCCGACTGTCAATNTCCTATTCCCCGACTAGTGTTGGTGGATCTACAGCAGCTTGCTGCTCTCCTGGCTGACAAACACATGACAAAGGTAGCTGTGTGATAGACACTGTACAAGTTATAAGTAATCCATTATGGACCTTGTTGTTACATTTTTTAAGAGTCAACATTCACAGGTCACATCAAGTGGCTATTCTAGGTTTTACTTTTAGGGGGGGCCAATGGGGGGTCAATGCTATATTTTGGGAGGCACCCAATGACTGCATTATTCGTAGATGTAGCCTATAGCAATTTGTTGAGTGTTCCTTACTTGTACTCACATTGTATGACTAAATATAGACCTAACCCGATTAAATAGATTTAACAAAATAAACATGATCTGGAAAAGGTTTCTGGTCAGAATGTACTTGTACAATATGGAATGTACAATACTTGCTTCTTTCAAAAGCAACTCATGACACTCAGACTGATTCACAGTGAAGACTCATGTTAATAACAGCCTGATGGCTCAAGATACATTACAATGATACATACATGTAAGTACACACATAAACACAATGCTCTCCTCTTTTATATTAACAATGTTGTTCTTCATTTGCTCTGAGGAATGTCTGTCTGTCCTGCTCTGCCTTTCACCTGGTGCTGATGATGGGCTACAGCTGCTGGATTGGTCCTGCTTTGGATGCCTGTCCTCAGAACTGTCACCCTGACCCTGTCTAGGTTCACTGGTCTGACCCTCACATGGCTTCTGCTTAACTATTCAGGACTTTTGGGGTCTTTTGGACCCCAGGCCATTTGGTTTAGGTGACAGGTATTGTTTTTTGATTTTTCAAGATTTGATTTTTAAATATAAAAAGAGGGGCATTTTTTAAAATTTAATTTGATTTCTTAGCTTTAATTTGATTTTTTAGCTACTGTGAATTTTATTTGTTTGTACTACACTGTTGCGGCACAAATTGCAGCTAGCGAGTGACGTAATTAATAGCTCGAGCAGTGTCCGAAATGCTACTTTGTCGAGGTGCTCCCTATATAGTGCACTATATAGTGATCACTATATAGGGAGTAGGGAATGAGTGGGTGATTTCGGACACAACCTCAGAGTGTCCGTAAGTGCAGAGTGGAAGTGAGAGAAGAGGTGTGCTTGTTTTATTTTCCAGCTGCTCCCGTCACAAACACTACCACAATACTGTGTTCACCCCGCCCCCCCATAAAGCTGTGCTGTAACAACCAGCTCCTTAAAAAAACTATCCAATGACAAGACAGTATTTCATTGGGGGGGTGGGGGCCGAGAGAGGGCCAATCAGATTCCAGGAGGGGCCATGGCCCCTGTGGCCCCTCCCTTCCCTTTGCCTATGGTCACATCTAATTGATAGAATTTCTGAAAATGTATTTGAAATATGTGTACTGACCTGCTTGCGACGAACAGCCTCTTTAAGCAATGTGACAACATCTTGGCCCTCACAGCCGCTGGCTTTGAAACCCTTTGTCCACTTCAGCAGAATGCCCTGTACAGATGACAGCAGTGATCTGTAAGAACTATATACTATAATAACAACAACTACAGACCTGTTCCAAAAAATTTGAATATCACGGCAAAGTTGTTTATTTTCCATAATTCCATTCAAAAAGTTAAACTTTCATAGATTATAGATTCAGGGACCACAATTTAAACGATTCAAGTATTTGTTTGTTTATTTATACATAATTTGGGCTTCCAGCTCATAAAACCCATGAAAACAGGAATTCAAAAAATTAGAATACTGTGAAGAAATCACCATTTACTTCTCAGTTTTTGCACAAAAAAAGAAAGAAATTAGGATCACTGAAGCAGCAACCACAGCCTCCAAAATTCTGGTAAAACAGGTTAACTGTCTTCCTTTGCTGTGAATCCCACATTTGATTAGAGTCCACAAGTTCTCCACAGGATCTAAGTTGGTGTTTGGACATTTTTGAGGCCTTTTCTGGATACCTAAGTGGTGGAGAATGATGGAGTATTGTACTGCATAGATCATAGCCTCCCTGAATGGACATTTGACCTTTTTTCTCATTTTCCATATCTTTTCCATGACTGGAAAATTGCTCAATCATTTTCCAGGTTTTCCAGGACGCGTGGGAACCCTGAGAGCCTCTTATCAAGGTGTTCAGCTAAACAACCCTCCCCTTAGTTCACTGATTGTCAAAATTCCAGCTGCTAGTTACATTTGATGGTCAGTGTTCTGTTTATCATATTATTGTGAAAGCTAAGCTTGCAAGATTAAAGCTGGCTTTGTCTGCTTCCACCACAGTATACTGTCACAGTCCAGACTGGCTGCTCTATCAATATTCAAGGCAGAGAACCACATAGTACATATATGCATTTGACAGCTATGGTGTACAGCAATAAATAATATTGTTCCCTCCACTAAGTAAATGTTCAGTAAGTATTTACCAGTACAAACACCCCTTAAATAGTTTACTTGAGGACAATAGTGTATCTTAGTGAAGTGATTTAATTTGATATATTTTGCTGGATTAAACTCTTTTGACAATGTTGTTTGTGCCAAGGGGCAAAAACAGAACTGTTGTTCTAAGCTCATGCTGATGAAAACCACAACAGTTTCTTTACTGCAATTAAAATACAATCAGTTACCTCATTTGAGGAAACCAACCACAGACGAGAAGAGAAAATGAACGCAGGTATCTGCCAGCTTAATGTGATTCACACCTACAGTTGATGAAAATGTGTGGACATGCAGCTAGACTCGATGTGACATTATTCATTATAGTAAGCCTGACATGTATAACAAATATTGAATGCAAACATTACCTGATCCAGTTTGCTTTGATGGCAAGGGAAGGAGAATGTAAATCCCATAGGTAAGGATGCTCCCCTCATGCCCATGAACTCCAGAAAGTCAACGATGGAGTCCACAATATGGCCGAACAGCTGGGACATTAAACATGCAAAAAATGTACAGAAACATTAACAGGTTATAAACAACGGCTCTTTTCTATCAAGTATGTTCATATTATTTTATTTGTATTTAGCTGTTTTATATGGGGAAAATTGAGCCGTGTTACACAAGTTTTGTGACTGCTGATATATTCACATGTAAGAATTCTCCATAGAGTGCTCAGAGAGTTTGGAGCATGAAACAGAGGGCAAACATCACATTCTGTGTCAGTCAGCAGTCAGTATTTTTACTATTTCATACCAGAGTTCAATGTCTTTTAAAGGAGACAATTCAGAATCATATATGAAAAACTGCATTACAAGACAAAACCATCGCCATACAAAATGTAATCTTTAATGCATAAAATTGGGCTTTAATTTATATTTCAGGCACAATTCGTCTGCCATCATTAATGGAGACATACAAGATGTCACCCAGTGATGCACTACCTCTTCCCCTGTGCCTTGCATGATCTCCTGTGGGATACTGTAGATTTTGTGGTGCATATCTACAGTGGGTTTCGTTCCACTTCTCACTCGCACCAGTAGGACCCGAAAGGTGGAGCCTCCAAGGTCCAAAGCCAAGAAGTCGCCGTGCTCTGATGAGGACAAAAAAAGATAGCCCTGAGCACATGCCTGAATACTTTATAGAAAAGAGAAACTTTCACTCAATGACAAGTTAGTGGGAGATCACACTTTCACTTAAAGCTACCTGTTCCATCTGGGGTGGATCTGACATAGGTGGGAAGCATCTTGATGCTTGCCTGCTCATGGCTTTGCTTTGACAGGCCTCGCACCATCTGCTCACTCATTCGCTCTTTTACCTCCAGCAGCTGTTCACGACTCAGACGCAGGGCGTTGAGGATGCTCTGACGCTCAGCGTGTTGAGCAGCAAGACGGTAGGCTACTGCTGTTACCATAGCTGCACCTTTCCCACTGCCACACTGTGACTGCAAAAAACGCACATCACAGTCTGGTACAAGTCGTCCGGTCATTTTGTGGAGCCTCCTGGAAAACCTATAGAAAGGAGGCACATTCTGATAAATCTGTGGTGTCTCTGTTTTTAGTTATCCCCTTTCTACTGCACAGACAGACAAACTGGCTGCAATGAGGTGTGAATGTGAGTGTGCTTGATAGTCTGTCTCTATGTGTTCCTGTGATAGACTGGCGACCTGTCCAGGGTGTCTCCTGCCTTCATCCTAAGTCAGCCGGGATAGGCTCCAGCCCCCATGCGAAGATAAAGCAGTGTAGAGAAAATGAATGGATGCATGGATTAACACTTTGTTGCCCTTTAATTTCTCCAAACACTTGGAGTTGACAGTCATGTTTATGATCTCTGTCGAGGAGCAGATAGCATGTCCCTCTGTGTGATCTGCAGATCTCCAAAAGTGCTGACCAGGCTGATGTTAAATGATGTACATACACACTGTGCACTTTCGCACTCAAAAGGGGAAGACAGCTATTGTTTTTGGCAAGTCTTTGACATTTTCCTCTAGCTATACTATCACACCAACCTTTTCAATTTGAAATTAATCTGTTGACCCTTTGTTGCACAAACATTATCAACTGCGTCCACAAGTTTCTCTTGCATACTATCAGCCAACATTACAGTATATTCAATTTGAATGAATGAATGTATGAAAGGATGCATTAGTTAGAGCACACTGTCTTTACCACAGAAAAACAAGTGGGATGTCTGTCTGGCTGTCCTTTTCTCTAAACCAACATTTATTATTAGTAAAAATGCAAAACATAAACATCTAACACTAACTTCTTTTGTGACAGGATGCAATCGCGTACTACGACAGAGTACACAAAATTAAAGGGTGTTTATTTAGTTGGATTTTGGGCAAGCAGGACATCCACTTCAAGTACTAATTAAAAAGACTGACAGTATTTTTCCCTAGACTAATAGGTCTATAAAATCATGGATGGACTTCAATGCATTATCTTGTTTTCTGTAACTCTGAATCAGTGTGAGTGTGATGGGGACTTTGTCACATTCCTTAATGCTGTATAAGCTGTCTAAGTCCATATAGTCTATAAACTGTTTGTCTGACCAACTTTTAATCATTATAGGATCTAAAAGAAATAACATGGATAGATTGCATGATCTCACAACGCTCATATGGAATTTATCTGTGTGTTCTTTAATTCTTTCAATCCTCAGTCGAAACACACTTATTGACATGCAGACAACGAAAGATGAAAAATACAATGTGAATTGCTATTGCTTGTGTTTTATTTAACTTCAATCATGCAGCCACCCTATACAAGCAGCAAAATATATTCCATAAACTAAGCTCCACAGCCAAAATGTTTGAGTTTGCTTGTGAGAACCACCACGTTAGACGTGATGCCTTGCCAGTTCACTTACTCTGTATGATTCTTGTAAATGGAGCCATCTGCTGCGATAGTGGTACGCAACTTCTCAGCCGCTTTATTATCCCGGATCTGCCGCAGCACTGCCGCGAGAGTGGCAGCACACAAGTGTGCGGCCCGTGTCGATACTATCTGACACACCCTCTGAGTAGCTATGCAGTCCTCCACTGACGGGTCCAGACCCAGGCCACGGAGCACATTCTCAGCACTCACCACACCTTCCTCATCTCTGCAGGTAAGACAGAAAAAAATACAGAATTGCTAGACCTCTAACTCCTTGGTCATTTCTATTTAAATTATACCAGTACACAAAGGTTTTGGCAAAATTACTGTGGTTTACATTTCCAAAAATACTGAAGTTCAAGATTCATGGCGTAAGGCTAACATTTTAACCAAACTTAGCAAAGGAAAAAACAACCGATTCCAAAAACCAACAGACTTACCATCTGCAATACACTGATGAAAGGTATAAACCTTTAATCCTTAAATGCATGGTCATGTTCAATCACAACTATTTACCTATGGTTACTAATGGTCCAGAACTTGAAAAAGGTAGACGGAGCAAAACATTAAAATAATGTTGCTTGCAATGGTTTTTCAAAACTGTTTTGTCTGTTTGTTTTTTAATGCAGAGAAATAGACTTTGTATTGCCCAGTATCCAGGACATTTTGGTGATTTTTGACAATTTTTAAAAACTTTTTAGTACTGTGGCTAAATTTTAGATTACTTTGACTATTCCAAACTAAATTTTACCTGCTGACTCAGACGGACTATAAATCATGTTATGTTAGTTACAGAATAGAAATCTCCAGCATGTTTTGTAGGAGTGTTTCCAGTTGTAGTGGACACAACAGACTTAAAGAGCATAACCAGCTAAATACCAGCATTTTAGAGGAGTGTGTGCACTGTGAGTCCCTACTTATGCATTTAGAGCAGCAGCGTCTAGGCAGCACAGGTAACTCGATGAGAGTTTCTCAGCAGTCCTAACTTGAATTGAAACTCTAATTGGATGCATTTTGCCATTCAGAGTGCATATCTAATCTCCTACATACCTCAGGTTGCTCATGGCTAAGCAGCTGAATATGGTGATATGATCAGCCACAACATTACAACCACAGACAGTCGAAATGAATAACATTCATCATCTCACAAAAATGCAATGTTTTTCTGAAAAACTGTGTCCCAGCTTAAATATGGATTTCCTGTGACATGTACCACATACCTATACATTGCTGCAGAGCAAACACACTCCTCCCCAACTGCAACAGCCTTCCCAAAATGCAGTGACCTCCCCCAGCATGACAATGCAAAAAATTCTCAAGATTGGCTCAAGGAACATGACCAAGAGGCCATGGTGTTGTCCAAACTCCCCAGATCCCAATCCAATCAAGCATTCACGAGATGCGCTGGAGCAAGCCTGATCCACGGAGGCCCAAAGCCTCAACTAGCATCATCTCAGTGCCGAACACCACAGGACACCCCTCAGAGGTCCTGTGTACATGCCTCAACAGGTCAGAGCGGCTTCTGTTTCTTCTTTTTCAATTACAAAAAATACACACACTGCTCTAGGCAACAATAACTGGCTTGGGTTTTTTTCTAGTTTTTGTCATACTTAGTGCAAATGTGCACACAATAGACAACACACGCCGATACTGGCATATACACGGGCATTTCATTCATTCAGGTCCAAGTTAAACAATCCATACGATACAGACACACAAACACACACACACACCCACAGACACATGAACACACATGTGCACCCAGAAACTCACTTGTCAGTGTCAATGTTGTAGATGTAGCTGGTAATGAAGCGGCCAGTGGTGAGGAGCTCTGATGTAGTCTTTCCCTGGAACAGCAGCTGCTCTCTGGCCATCTTCACCAGGATGAGACGCACCAGTTCCCCCATGTACATCCCACTTATCATTTTTTCAAACCTGCATGCCAACATGCAAAAAAAAAATCAGGAACAAAACAACAACACAGATCAAACTTAAACCAACTTTGCAGTGTACATGTGCTCAGAAAAACAACAAAAGTAGGCAATTGAACACTCCAGAAGGCATTTAATTTATGGCTTTGAAAAAGCCACGAAAATAATACAATTATGCACTGAATCAACCTGCAATGGTTTATTTTAAATTATTTATTCAACCTATTTGTTGTGGGTGTACCTGTTATCACCATCTGTTTTTACCAATTATGATCTCCATATTCTGAATTCAAGGTAACTTCTGATTGATTGATCTCTCCTCAGCTGACTACGTAATGGACGATACTGACCAAACAGTGGTCAACAATAGAACTAGAACAACTAGCTCCAAACTTACTCACCCTCATATACTGCTCTCATGCATTCTGTCAGTTATCATTAAACTAACAAATTATATTCCCATGTCAAGTCCAAGTATTGACAGCAGCAACTAGCAGTACATGCTAATAAAGTTCTAAAGTTAGTATTTGATATTGAGCAACTGCATTGCAGCGCTCTACATTATTTACTTTAGTGCAGCTTCTTCTACTATCAGTACATATGTCATTAGGTTCCACAACTACTTGAAAACACAAACAAGAAAACCTTCAACTAATTTAACTGCCTGTAGTGAATTTTTCCTAATCTTCTTTGAGCGTCAAAAATCTAAATAAACACACCAGACTGATTCGGTGATGAACAACACGAACAGAACTTGGCTCTCCAGCAAGATTTTTTTCTACAGAACAACAGAGTTTAGAAGCTATTTTTTTACTAGCCAATATAAAATATAATAATAACACAATAACACACTGTCTGATAAAAAGAGAAATAATACAGTTGTCAGTATGACAGAACAATGCTGTTCCCTGATGAAAATAATTTTGTGGCAATGTACATGACACTAAAATAAGCATCACAAAAACATTTTGCAATAACAGCAAAAAAACAGCAACAGCCCATTAAATCAGAAGCAGGTCACACACAGGGAGGCTTCTAGTGAAATATGATCAATACACTATCAATACAAAGCCATGTCAAATTCAAGCATGTCTGCAGTTGATTTGGAAAAGGCCAACACCGGAAAATGTTTCATGTAGTACCAAGTCAGATACGCTCAAAGGCACTCACAGCTGCTTGCCAGGGTTTAGTGAGCCTGCATCGATTTCCCGGTCAATGTCGGTGCGGAGGTCCTCCAGGGCACCATCGTCTCCAAACGCACCCCACTCTGTGTTGACGCACATCCGCCCCTCGTCACCATCCAGCACCTCAAGGTTCCTCATCTGCTCCATGTAGCAGGCATTGGTCCCCGTTCCTTTAAGGAAGTATTGTTACCACAACAATTATTTCTCATCCAAAAATATGACCCAGGTCACTGTGTCCTATCAACACTCTTCATCCAAATGCATTTTCAACCTGCATCTACACAATGAATCTGAAACTTTGATGATCCAATTGTTGCTAATCTTGTGATGATATGTGGCTTAATGGAATGACCAGTATTCAGGCACTTTGTACCAAAAGCACAATCAGGCAGGTTTGTGAGTACAAGATGACTCATGAATAGCCCTCATATGATCCATTATAAAGATATGAGGTAGTCTGGGACAGCAAAATACGTTCATCTGCACCACTTCAGAGCTATAACGAGACTAGTACGTTATTAGCTATTACACATTGCATACAAGGTTTATGTGTGTCATTTCAGTGTTGTGTGATGTAACATAAAATGTGCAAGCAGAGTTTTAACTGCTTCTCTAACAAAACAGAGTAATGTATTTTTGGATAGCTGCCCCATGACACCTTACTGCCATTGTTCACAAGTGGGCTGTTGGTGTGTCACACTCCGGTAGCCGCACCGGAGAAACAAAACCAACAAAAAAAATATCTATGGATTTAATTTTTGGATAAATTAATTTACAGAACTGAAAAGTCTTACTGGGGGTCCTCTGTCATGTCAGTAGTTCTCACATGTCTGAAGAGGATTTCAATCTTTTTGTCCTAACATGCAGTGTAGATTGTGGAACATTTATCAACACACGTGTCTTCCTGTCTAAAGAACGGACGGTCAATTCAGTTTGCCGTTCAGAAATAATTATAGCAAACAGAATAAATCTGACCACATTTTCAGTGCCACAAAAAAGGATCACAACACTTTGGTGAATAGAAGATTAAAATCCTGGATTGTTTTTATGAAGTTCAAAAAAAATTCTGTCAACATGTTTTTACATTTTCATCACAAATGCCAACTTAATCCGTTAAACATTAAATCTACAACATCAAGTGTGCAAAAAGGATCTGAATACTTTCTGAAGCAACTGTACCTATTCCTATATTAGGGGATTACGTAAACCAACAAACATTGATTAGCAGCACATATACTGTGTGTGGACATCCAATAAATTAGAGGAGTTGAAAAAGAGAAACTCAACAAATGGTACTTCTTCACAGGCACAAGGTCACATTGGGTGGTTTAATGAGTACAAATTGCACCATGTGCTACAGCCTTTACAGCTTCGAGTTTTCATAGAAATTGAACAAAGATTTTTATACTGTTCAAAAACATGTATATTTTTGACCCACCAACAACAGTATACAAGTGCAGCCACACACTGGGCTGTCTCCGCAGCACTTGTATTGTTATGCATCGTTTCATTAGAGCAACACTTACTGATCCTTAGAGTCTTGATTTATATTCAGTTAAATCAGACTTACCCACAATAAGGCCTATTTCACAGAGCTGATCATCATAGCCACAGGTCATCATAGTTCCCACTGTGTCATTGATCACTGCCACAATGTCAATGTCAAAGTCCTGCAATGAGACACCAATGCATACATGAAAACAAGAACTGGCTTCATTAAATTCACTAGTATGTGCATTCAACTGAGTAAAAAATAAAATTCTGGTTAAGCATATTTATAAAGTCCCCTACACAAGCAATGTTCAATTTGAAAACACTTTCAACTTGCACAGATATGTGTTTGCATCGATTTGTAAGTTATTGACAGGACAGTTCCAGAACAAGTCAGTCTGCATTTGTCCCCTTCTGTTGTTCTGACTATGTCCAACACTGTAGGCAGCTTATCAATAAAATTGGCAAAGCTTCAACAAGTGATGCTAAGAACCAGTAGATGACCTAGTGTTCTACTGTGCGAAGTCCTGCTAATCATCAAACAACTGGGTAAAAAGCATTCTGCCATTATCATGATGTGCATGTTTCTCCTTGGCATGTGGAAGTTCAGTCATTGTCCACTGAAACACTGAAAAACATGTTCATCAGAAGTGACTGATGGTTTGCTCTGCTTGTCAGTGAAAGCTGTCAGCACTGTTTTGAGCTCATTTTGCAGTTCCCTCAGGGTATAACCAGGCAGGATTAGAGGAGCAAATCTCCAGAATGAGTTTGTCCTCTGTACCCAAGACTATTTTTTTCTATAATAGTTACAACCATAATTTCTGGCCAACACAGACAAATAGAAGGTTTATTAATTTTAGTTTTTGTTGTTACATTTCTTTGCATTTCCTTCATGAGGTAAAAATTAAAAGATTTCTAGCTTTTTGTACATTTGCACACGTTTGGCAATATTTGAAAACGTACATAATGTACCATAAAACTAGTATCTGTATACTTACCCCTCGTTTTTTAATGGACTTCCTCAGAAGGCTGACCACATCCTTTCCCTCTACTCCACTTGACCTGAAGCCTTTGGTCCAAGACAACAAAACACTCTGCAAAGAAGAAAGTAAAGACATCACAGAGTCAGGATTTGATTTACTTTTGACACACAGAGTCAATAAAATCATGCAACACACACTGGTGAGAAAAGTTACACATCCTCAACAATAATATGACAGAGAAAGTGGACATACAAAAAATCTTAATAAAGCTGAAGAGGTTGTGATGACCCCTGAGGTCATCTTGTGTCTTGTGGGTGGTTCTAGTTCG